GAATAGACTGCAATTCATCTTTGGGGATATAAAGCAAAATTAATTTACAAAATTTGCAATTTTATTCTTGATTCGAGACTCCTGATACATCGGATAAGAACCTTAAGAAGTAATTTCATGATACATGCAAAAAAAAATAATAATGAACAAAAATAAAAGTTTATAGTGATAATTAATCGCAAGTTAAATAATCAAAAATTTATTATTTTTTTTTATTATTCTTATAATTAAAAAAAATATATAAAATAAAATGTTTATAAAAATTTGTACAAAGAAAATGTGTTTGTAATTTCTCAATAATTTAACACCGAATGTCATGTCCACGTTTAGATATAACCTTCGGAATTATAAGATGGATCCATTCGTTTTCTTTCGTATAACATGAAAATAATAATGTGTTTGATATGGCGCGAATGGAGATAATTTTCATCGCAAGATGTATATGTTCATAAGAGACAAGAAAAAATACTTATGCTAGAAGATATACAGTATATACTACAATACAAAATGTTTTAAGGGCACCTTTTAGAAATAAAATAAAATAAGATTTTACTACGCATAAAGTGTACCACAAAATTTTCTTGTCGAACAAAATAATCGATTCGAGATAAGCTTGAAAATGCGCAACTTTTTCATTCATCCAAATTTTTTTTTTTTTAATTAAAACTATAATCACAGAATGAAACTCCATTTCCTTCTAATAATGGTTTGAGGGTTAACTTTTGATAAGGTGTAGATACTGGATCAAAATAATAACCTAAAAGAGACAAGCACCATGAATACAATGTTCACTTATGGTAACGACATCACAGAAAAATTCCAAAGGTCAATACCTTCGATAGCTCCATCACTTCTCCTGATACAGATATAGTAAAAACCGGCAATAGTTAACCCACTCTCTTGAGCGGTCACATTGACAAAATAATGTTCTAATTCAAACGAGAAAACTTCAATAAACAAAAAACTGATGAATAAATAATGTGTCTTGAAATTAAAGATTAACATTCACCTTTCCATCTCATAAATATGTATTTTTGACATGCCTCCTGAAACCACTCCCGAGAAGTCCCTCTGAGT